AGCGAAGTGGGGGACGACCACAGACCACCCCGGTGACTGCCCCATCACCTTGAATGGTGGGGGAAAGCAGTGCACGCCCTGTGAGGGCACGGTGGGTGTCCTGGCCATAGGGATTTCCAGCAGGAAGCACATGTCCTCTTCCTGCCTGCCTCCCTACCTGGGACCTGCCCAGGACTCTTCCCCTGTCACCCAGCTCAGTGCCTGGGACGGGGGAGGGCACAGAGGCAGGGTGAGGTCAGCGGAGCTCATCTGCAGGGGCCTAGAAGGGCACACACGAGGTCATATATTTTCTTTTTTTTGAAGAAGAAGAAGAAGAAGAAAGAGAAAGAAAAAAAAGAATAAAAAAAAAAGAAAAAAGAATGAAGGAGAGGAAGAAAGAGGAAGAGGGAGAGAGAACAGGGGTGTTTCTTTATTGCCTGGGCTAGAATGCAGTCTAAAAATGGGTATGCCTGTAATTGTGTTTAATAACGGAGACATAATAAAAAAATAAAATGAGGGAAGAAAATAACTAACAAGCAGCCAACCAATATTTCATTTAAACCTGTAAGTAGGTGTGATGTGGTACTGATAAGAGCGTGTATTTTGTGTATTTAAAGTGGAGAGTTCTATAAATGTTAATTAAGTCTACTTGTTCCGGATCTGAGTTCAAGTCCTGGATATCGATGTTAACTTTCTGTCTCATTGATCTGTCTAATATTGATGTTGAAGTCTCCCACTATTATTGTATGGGAGTCCAAGTCTCTTTATAAGTCTTATATATCTGGGTGTTCCTGTATTGGGTGCGTGTATGTTTAGGATCTTTAGCTCTTCTTGTTACATTGATCCTTTTATCTTTATGTAATATCCTTCTTTGCTTCTTTTGATCTTTGTTGCTTTGAAGTCTATTTTATCAGCAAAAATTGCAACTCCTGCATTCTACTTATTTATTATTTTTGCTCTCCATTTGGTTGGTAAATTTTCCCCACCCCTTTGTTTTGAGTCTTTGTGTATCCTTGCATGTGAGGTGTGTCTGGATGTAGCATACCGATGGGTCTTGGCTTTTTTTGCCTGTCTGTGTCTTTGGATTGGGGGATTTAGTTGATTTAAATTTAGAATTAATAGCAATATATGTGAGTTTGATACTGCCATTTAATGTTAGCTGGCTGTTTGCCCATTAGTTGATACAAGTTCTTAATTATGTTGATGTTCTTTATTTTTTGGTATTTTTTAGAAAGGCGGATACTGGTTGTTCCTTTCTATTTGTAGTGGTTTTTTCGGAAGCTCTTGTAAAGCAGGCCTGGTGGTGATGAAATCTCTGAGTGCTTGCTTGTTCACAAAAGATTTTATTTTTCCTTCGCTTATGAAGCTTAGTTTGGCTGGATGTAAAATTCTGAGTTGAAAGTTCTTTTCTTTAAGGATGTTGAATATTGGCTCCCACTCTCTTCTAGCTTATAGGGTTTCTGCTGAGAGATCTGCTGTGAGTCTGATGGGCTTCCCTTTATGGGTAACCTGACCTTTCTCTCTGGCTGCCCTCAGTATTTTCTCTTTCATTTCGACCCTGGTGAATCTGGTGATTATGTGCCTTGAGGTTGGTCTTCTTGAGGAATATCTTTGTGGTGTTCTCTGTATTACCTGGAGTTGAATATTGTCCTGCCTTGCTAGGTTGGGAAAGTTTCCCTGAATAATATACTGAAGCGTATTTTCCAGCTTGGATTGATTCTCTTTGTCACATTCAGGTACACCTATGAAGCGTAGATTAGGTCTTTTCACATAGTTCCATATTTCTTGGAGACTTTGCTCGTTCCTTTTTATCCTTTTTCCTCTAATCTTATCTTCTCGTTTTATTTCATTAAGTTGGTTTTCGGCCTCTGATATCCTTTGTTCTGGTTGATCAATTCGGCTGTTAAAACTTGTGCATAGTTCGCGAAGTTCTCGTGTTGTGTTTTTCAGCTCCATTAATTCACTTATATTCCTCTCTAAATTGTGTATTACTGTATTGTTAACATTTCGTCAAACCTTTTTTCAAAGTTCTTAGTTTCTTTGCATTGGGTTAGAACAAGTTCTTTTAATTCCCAGAAGTTTCTTATCCACTTTTTAAAGTCAGCTTCTGTTAATGGAACACAGTCTTTCTCCATCAGGCCTTGTTCCGTTGCTGATGAGGAACTGTGATCCCCTGTAGAGGGAGAAGCGGTCTGATTTTGGGTATTCTCAGCCTTTTTAGGCTGGTTTCTTCCCTTCGTTATAGATTTATCCATCTGTGGTCTTTATAATTACTGTCTTTATAGTTGAGTTTCTGAGTGGATGTCCGACTTGTTGATTCCCGGTGCTAAGATCTGAGCAACCCACTGCGCCGGCCAAAACAGCGGTGTTAAGATTGATGGTGCTTTTCTGACTCTGCACCAAGAACTGCTGCTCCAAGGCAGCGGCAAAACTGCCTCGCTGGCCACAAGAGTCACGCTGGCAACACGTGGGGCTCCTCCACTGGGAATCTCCTGGTGCGTGAGCAACAAAAATTGATCTGAAAGTGTGGAGTCCTCTGGTTCTCTGCGCTTTCAGTGGGAGCTGCAATCCCGAGCTGCTAGTGATCAGCCATCTTGGATCTCTCTCCCCATGTATTTTCATAAAATAACTTACTTTTGCATTGTTTTTCTTCCAGAGGGCCCCTCATTTTATACGTTTCAGGCTGTTCGTGACCTGAATCCTCCCCTGCCCAGAGACCTCCTTTTGAACCCACAGGATCCATCCAAATTCTTTCCTTCTTCCTCTGATAAGCTGGAGAATGTTCTCCAACAGTGAGTCATCCTCCTCCACCCTAACCCAGGCCGGCTGGAATTCAGCAGAGAAGCTGGAAAACTTTTTAAAGGTGTTCATTCATTTGCTGGACACACACTTGTTGACCACCCATGTGTGCCAAGCCAGCCCTGGAAGAGCAGGCATCAGATGTAAAGATGGGGAAGCCATTCCGCAGCTCTCAGGGCCGGGGAGAAGCTCACGGGTTTGCACCTCTGCCTGAGGATAGGGCCCAGCACAGAAGTGGGGCACTGGGGAGGTTTTCTTGGGTGCAAGCTCTTGGGATACCAGGAGGATAGTAGCCCCCAAACCCAGGCTGGGGCAGCCCCTGCAGCTGAGCTCCTGGGAAGGGTGGGCAGTGGGTGTGAGTGAAGGGCACAACTGAGAGCCCCGAGGGACAGATGGGGGTAGTGTTGGAGCATCAGCAACTGGGGCACCCCCTGGTAGCTGGGGTTTCAGAAGACGGTGAACTCACCCACCTCTCGGGGACTCGGGCTATGTGTGCTGTTCATGTTTGTTGTTATTGATAAGGAGCAGATGACAGGGGTAAGGGCAGGTCCCCAGACCCAGACCCCTGTGTTCAGTTCGCGGATCTGCAGTTCACAAGCTGGGCGACTTGGGGTGCTACCCCTCCTGTGACCTCTGTCTCCCCTTCTGTAAAGCAGGGGTGAAGGTGAGGCTGGCCTGATGGCCACCCACCCCGAGGGGACTGAAACTCCAGGTAGTGTGGGGGCGCAGACAGCCTGTGTGTGTTAGGGGTACTGTTGCCCCTCCATTGCATCGGGATGGTTGTGGGGGTGCTCCCTTCCCAACCCTCTCCCAGCCAGGGCTCCCTCCAGTGCTCCCTATTAGAAGTTCCTCCGCCAGACCACACAAAACCTTGGAGGGGGAAGCTTCCAAGGAACAGGGCAGCCGGCTTCACTGCTGAGCCGGTGGCCAGTGTGCCTCTGCAGCAGGGACCAGCAGGGCTGGCTCTTTGTGTGGCTAATGAGGGGGCCACACCTGGCCCCCATCTGGTCCCACCCAGATCGCACCCCCCATCTGCTATTCAAAAAGAGACACGCCTGAGTATCTGGTAGACCTGAGCCCAAAGACTCCATGTCCATTCCTGGGACCACCTGGTTCTGGCACCTGGAATCAGTCAATTTCAAACCAAAACCAGGTTTCAAAGGACAAAACGGAATCTTACTTTGCAGAAGCCTCACCCTAGATAGTGCCTCTGCGCCCATGGGCACCTTAGAATTCAGCGCCTCCTCCTGTCTGTGGCTGCTGGGACCCCAGGCCCACCCACTCCAGGCCGCTGTCCAAGAACACTGTTCCCAGCACAGAAAGAGGAACGGGAATGCCCAGGAGGTAGCTAGGAACCGGCAATGCATGTCCCCGAAGCAGGGGTGTCCAGGGTGCACGCGGGTGGCAGAGACTGGCCACCCCCTCCTCAAGCCCTTCCTCGACCGCATCCCTGCGGGAAGGGAATGAGGTGTCAGGGCGAAGGTGGACGCAGCGTCCACGGGCAGGACAAGCCGAGGCTGGCTTCCCCGTGGAGCCTGAGAAGTGAGGGAGCCTGAGGGCTGTCTCCGGAGGTCGGGGTCGGGGGTCCGGGACTGCGGAGAGCTGCCTTTGCGGGGTGTGGTCCCTGGAGCCCGGCCCCTTCTGGGTTGGTCACTGCAGTCGGTTAGCATCTGGACTTTCCGCCTGAGACCAGCATGGAGCGCGAAGGGGCAGTGGCAGCCCCGTGGGGGTCTGGGGCGGGACTCCGGGCAGGCTGTGGGCGGGGCCTGGAGTGGGACGGGGCGGGGCAGGGGCGGGGCCTGGAGCCAGACATGGGCGGGGTGGAGCCGGACATGGGCGGGGCTGGGGCGGGCCGGGGCGGGGCTGGAAGCAGGATCCCGGGCTGGGGTGAGGGATCTGGGCAAGTCCAGGGGCCGTGCTGGGGCCGGGGCGCTGCTGAGGTGGGCGAGGGGGCGGGGAAGGGGCGGGGCCTAGGGCGCACGGAGCGGGGCGAGCCGGGGGCGGAGTCGGGGTCGGGACTGGGGTCCGAGCTGGGGGCGTGCCGGGGGCGGGGCGCTGCTGAGGTTGGAGGGGTTGGGACAGGGGCGGGGCCGAGGGCACTCGGGGCGGAACGAGCCGGGGGCGGGGCAGGGACTGGGGTCCGGGCTGGGGGCGTGCCGGGGGCGGGGCGGCCTTCCAGGCTCCGGGCCCGCCGCACTGTGCTCACCGCGCCGGGGCGAGTGCCTGCAGGGTGGACCCGGCGATCGGGTCTCCGCGGTGCCATTTCGGGCGCGGGCGGGAAGCGGACGCTCCGCACCTGCCCCGACCTCGGGCCCCGCGGACCCGGCGCGGGCACCTGTGGCTGCGTCCTATGGCGCACGTCGAGGCGGAGGCTCTGGGGAGCCGCCGGGGCCGCCTGTAAGCCGGGGACCGGAGAAGGCACCGGCGCGCACGATGCCGCTCCCTGCGGAGTCGAGGGCAGCGGGGCGCGAGGTGGCCCTGGCGCTGGTGCTGCTGCTGCTCCCAGCCGCGCCCGCGGGCGCCAGCGTCCCGCCGCGGCCCCTGCTCCCGCTGCAGCCCGGCATGTGAGTAGCGGGAGCTGGGAGGGCTCGGCGGGTCGTCCAGAGACGACCTCGGGAGGCCCGCGGTGGACCGAGCTCCGAGGCTTTGTCCGTGGGGCCCCAGAGCAGTGGGCTCTTTGCCTTAACTGGAGAGGGGGTGGCTGAGACACAGGGCTCCGGGTGGAGCCTGGGGCCCTTCTGTGGCAGGGCCCCTCCCCGTATCCCCTCCCCCTCTCCCCTCTCCCTCTCTTTTGCTCCGGGATGTGGGTTCTGCAGGCTCAGGCAGATGCTGTACTTGGAAAGCTGTGAGGAATCTGGGCCCCTTTCCGGGCAGAGTCTGGCCCCGGAGCCCGGCTGGGAGAAGGCAGAGAGGAAGCCGCCTGTTCCCGCTTCTCCAAAGCCTGCCTTCTGGGGTCTGGGGGCCTTCGCAGGGGCAAGCGTGCCCAGACGGGGGAGCTGAATGGAGTTGGTCTGTGTGTTAAACACGTGCGCTTTGGGCTGTTGGAGAAGGAATTTAGTGCCAGAATGGGCAGGAAGAGAGGGTCAGGGAGCCAGCCGAGATGAATTTAATTTTGAAAGATGATTCCCCAGCGGGCCGTTTAGCGGTCTCTCTTGAACAGCAAATCAATCCTTGTGTTGGCCTCAAAGGAAAACTGGTGTGCAGTGGAGGAGAAGGCGGCGGCTGAGAGTTGCTGGCGCCCCCACCCAGCACTCCCCGCCCGTGTTGGGCCTGGGGCCTGCAGAGCTCTAGAAGGCTGCAGACGCGCAGGCGAGGGCCAGGCTCAGGTGAAGGCCTCCTGTCTCACAGCCTCCGGGTCCTGGGGCCACAGAGGGGCTCTCAGGCTGCTCCTGTCCAGCACTCCCCACAGGGCCTGGTGCTCAAGGGCCCACCACAAACCTGGCCGTGCAGGACAGAGCTGCAGCTGGCTGGGGACTGAGAAGCTGCCACGTTGTGCTGGCGTAGGGGAGGGGGTCCAAAACCTCAGCCCCACCCTGGGTCTTGCTTTACTTCACTAAGTGGAGGCCTTTTCAAAGCCGTGCTGTCCCTGGGTTGGGGGCCTTGGCATCCACAGTGTGAACAGCCCTAGTCCTGACTCCATGGGCTGCTGGATATTCCTCTTTCCTGTGACCCCAGTGCATTTATTGGAGAGCTGCAGGCTCAGAAGGGACACCACAGTGGCCTTCGGTGCTCAGCCAGCCAGCCCCTCCCGGGACCAGCCAGGGGCTTCCAGGGGCACAGGCTCCCCGGAGTCCCGGGGTGGGCTGCTGCTCAGCAGAGGTGAATGGCCCACTGTCTCTGCTCCGGTGTCCCTGCTCCTGCAAGGGGCCTCTGCCACCAGGGCACTGCAGACCCTGTCGGCGCCCTTCCTTGGCCCCCTGCCGGACTCGGACCTGCTGGGGTCTCCAGGAGTGGAGTGGAGGGTCTGCTTCCTATGTTCTGCCTGCACACCTGGTGTTGGGAGGCCCTTTGTGAGCCTGGGGCGAAGCCGTCTGAAATGTGGAAATGGGTTGCAGGGGAGGCGGCTCTCTTTGCTCATCCTTGCTCCAAGCCTCCCTCCACTCCCTTCTCTGCCCTTCCCTTCCTGTGCTTCTCCAGGGGAGCCTCCCTGGCTGCAGTGAGTGGCGGTGGCTGCGCTGGGGCCTGTGCCCCTGAGTTATCTTCTGGGCTCCAGGCATTTCCACTGGGGCCTCTGCTCTACCAGCGAGAGTAGACAGACTCTCTACTGTCTACCAGCGAGAGTCTGAGCTCTGTGCCGCCTTCCACAGGCCTGGTGTCCTGGAAGCACCTGGCGTGTGGCTGGACAGGCAGCCGGGCCTCAGTGGGCCAACACTGGCCGGCTGAGTGTGGGGACCTGGAGCTGGACCCTGGGGAGATCCCCACTGAGCTGTGGAGAGCAGGGCCTGTTCTGAGGTCCACTCTGTGGAGCAGAAAGGAGGAGGACGCTGTGGGCTCCGGTGGGGGTGGGGCAGGGGCAGGGTCGTTCTTTGCTCCCTTACCCCAGAGGAACAGGGTGGATCCCAGAGAGTGCTTGGTTGCTACTGGTCCTGTCCTCCCCCCCGCCACCGTTTCCTCCTGGGAATCTGATGAGCGGGCAGGGCCTGGCAGGGAGAGTGGCACCCGCTCTGGCTGAGTTTTCCTGAACCACTGGCTGCTGAGTTGAAGCCGTACTGCCAAACTCCTGTTAATGCTAGAAATCGGGGCCCCTGGGAGACGCTGTGGGGGCAGGGAGGGCGGTGCCCTCCGACTCATGGACCCAGGTGCTTTGCCCCATCCCTGAGTGGGCAGAGCTGATCTGTCTGCTGATTCAGGTCACTCTAAAGTGAATTTCCGCTGTGAGGAAGGATGCTGGCCTCTTTCCTCCGGCCTCATGCAGGAGGCCCTAGGCTGCTGGCGGGCGTCTGGGAACGAGGCTGGGAGTGGGAGGCAGATTGCCCACGTGCTAAAGCATGGCCCTGCCAGCTCCGAGCAGCCGTGGTTGGAAGCTCCACGTTTTGGAGACCCTGAGAGGCGCTGCTGGGCTGCAGAGACCAGTGTTTCGAAGAGGCTCAGGTTCTCCCCAATGGAGCCCCCTCTGGGCAGCCAGGGCTCTGGAACCAGTTAATGACCTGATGCCTCCCCTCCAGGGCGGGTCGGGGCCTCCAGCTCCAGTCCAGTCTTGCTATTAGCTCTTTGGACCTCCTGGCACCAAGAGTCGCATTGGTGAGCCTGAGGTTGTCAGCCACGCTCCGCCCACCACCCCAGGCGCAGAAAGCAGCTGTTCTCAGCCTCACGTGGGGCCCTGAGTGCCGCAGTGCCAGACCTGGAGGGAAGGAGCTCACACCTACGTGAGCTGCTGCCTTTGGAGCTTCGAGTGACATTGAGAATCGTCTCCTTGTCTAGGGGAAGGCACCCGAGTGTCCTAGGGGCCCCAGGGCAGGAGCTGGGCCCCCCAACTCCAGGGCTTTGAGAGTCCCGCACCTGGCTGCTTGGGGGCCTGGGAGGCATGAGAAGAGGAGACCCATGGGGGTGAAAACAAGCATTCAAAAATGAATGTGATGAACGTGAGGGCCGCTGTCCTGAGCAACCCCCCCACCCGCTGCCCACAGGGGTCTATTCAGGGGCTGCATTCAGCCAGGCTGGGAAGCTGAGCCAGGCCGGCTGCCCGGTTTCTGGATCCCCCCTCCCCAACCTGGTGACGCCCTCACGGGGCCCAGACTGTCACTGCCCACCCTGGAGGGACCCTGCGGCATGCCCACCTCTGCCTGGGAGCAGATGGCTGGCCAGCTGGGCGGCATTCCGCCTCCGACTGCGCCGGGTCCGCTTTGTAGTTTGGGAATTCCCCAGATGGGAGGCGGCATCCAGCCGCAAGGAACAGACAGGCCTGGGACTCCGGTCCTGTCAAGGCCACCAGGCATTTTACCGGGTTATCCTGGGACACTTGTGGGGCGGTGGGCAAGTTTCTTTCTTTCTTTCTTCTTTTTTGAGATGGAGTCTAGCTCTGTCGCCCAGGCTGGAGTGCAGTGTTGTGATCTTGGCTCACTGCAACCTCTGCCTCCTGCCTCAGCCTCCTAGGTAGCTGGGATTATAGACATGAGCCACCATGCCTGGCTGATTTTTGTATTTATGATCGAGATGGGGTTTCACCATGTGGGTTAGGCTGGTCTTGAACTCCTGACCTGTGATCCACCCACCTTGGCTTTCCAAAGTGCTGGGATTACAGGTGTGAGCCACTGCACCCGGCCAGGCAGATTTCTTTATGTCCCCTCCTCTGCCTGCCCTCCCCGTCACCTCCTCTATCCTCCCAGGTGGGAAGGCCGCAGTGGCTGCGTGTGCGGTGCAGAACTCCCCAGAGGAGACAGTTGTTCCCACGCTCACTCCTCCTCCCTTGAAGGCTGGCTTGATTGATGATCAATCAGTCTTGTTAGGGGTCACTGCGAGAGCCACCCAGGAGCTGCTTTCAGGGACCACAGCCTGGCTGGGCAGGGCAAGGGCCCTCCGGCCTGGGGGAGAGCCTTGGAGGGGGAGGAGGTACTGGGGAGCCAAAGGGTGTGCTGGGGGCAGCAGCCCAGGGAGTGACGGTGTGATCTGGGGAAGGGCTGCTAGGTGGTCCCGGGTGGGGCTGGCAAGGGGTCTCTTGAGTCCTTCTGCACCGTCATCTTGCTGGTTCATGGCAGCCGAGGTTGCTGAGGTTTGACGAGGGCCAGGAGGGACAAGGAGGCCCCTCAGAGGGGAGCACCCATCCCCTCAGGACTCCAGCCCTGGCCATGTGTCCAAGCCCTGGAGGCCTGAGCTGCCGTCACGCCAGCTTTCCAGATGCTGAATTGAGGGCGCAGAGATGGTCATCGACTCCTCCGGTTGCACAGCAGGCCCCAGGCCTGGGGTGTCTGTTGAAAACCCGAGCTCACAGCTCTGGCCCCTCTGTGTCATCTCCATCCTGAGACGGTGACAGGCCCACTTCACGGTGGCTGCCCTCAGCACAGGGGCCATTGCAGAGTTGGGGCTGGACCCCTGGAGGGACCCCTGAAGCCCAGAAGCTCAGGGGTCATCAGCCTAATCCCCCACCCCCTTCCATTTTTTATGGCGAGGAGTTCAGGGCCACCTTTGCCCAGGGCTCAAGGTGGTCAAGTGCGTGGCAAGGCACAGGGGCAGCAAACGAGTTCAATGTTTGTAGCAGTCCCTATGGGCCCACTGTTGATGCACAAGTGACACTTCTTCCTGAATAAACAGTCCCAGCATCTGCAGTAACACTGGCTCACACCTCCCAAGGGCTGTCGGGAGCCCTTGTCTGTGCCGGCTCATTGAACCCTCACGACAACCTGGCAAGGCCAGTCCTCATTTTACAGGTGAGGAAACCGAGGCAGAGGTTCAGTAAGCTTCGCATCTTCAAGATGGGGCCTGGGGAGCTGGGATTCAAACCCAGGCGGCCCAGCAGCGAGACCTTGCTTCACACCGCGAGGCCTGGGGTTACAGGCTTCAGTGTGCTCCAGCAGCCCCTGGTGGGCTTAGGAAAACACACGCAATTCTTAAATCCCCGAGGAATGCTGGCCCCACCCCAAGAGTCCTGGATTCAGTGGGTCCAGGGTGGGGCCCAGGAGTGTGCATTTCTGCAGGTTCCCAGGAGGAGCTGCTGGTCCTGGCCTGGGGACCCCACTTTGAGAACCACTGCTTGATGCCTTGCACCCCTAGAGCCCGATGGTGGGTGGGTGAATGTGCTCATCGCGAGTCCTGCGCTCCCCGAGGTGCGAGTTCTTTAAAACGCCTGGCTCTGATCCCAAATTTGACACCGTACATGAAAGCTTTTGCAGTTTTAGGGGGACAGCGTATCTGTCAGGAGGAGGACAGGCTGTGGCACTGTCCCTGGAGGGGTTGGGGAGGGGTCCTCACGAAGGGGTGTGCTTTGAGGCAGACACGTGGGTGAGGAAGCAAGGGAGCGTAGCCGTGGAGCCAAGGCCATTCCTTGGGTGGGGGCGGGGCCCTGGAACCGGAGAGAGTGGGCACCGGAGAAAGTGGGCACCAGAGAGAGTGGGCACGGCCCCACCCCTGGCAGGAGGGACACAGCCCAAAGACGCTCCTGCATCTCTTGCTGGTCCTCACCTTGACTAAACCCTCCTGGCAGCCAGAGGGCAGAGGTGTGTGGGTGTCTGAGTGTGTGTGTGCCTGTGTATCTGCATGTGTGTGAATGGGAGTTTAAGAGTGCATATGTGTGTGTGATTGTGTGTATGTATGTGTGAGTATGTGTGTGAGTGTGTGTGCCATTGTGTGTATGAGTGTGTGTGATTACATGTGTGTGTGATTGTGTGTATGAGTGTATGCATGATTGTGAATGTGTGTGTATGAGAGTATGTGAATTGAGTGTGTGTGAATGTGTATGTGTGTGATTGTATGTATGTGTGAGTATGTGTGTGTGTGTGCCATTGTGTGTGTGATTGTGTGTATGAGTGTATGCGTGATTGTGAATGTGTATGTATGAGAGTATGTGTAATTGAGTATGTGTGAATGTGTATGTGTGTGATTGTGTGTATGTATGTGAGTGTGTGTGACATTGTGTGTATGAGTATATGTGTGTGTATGAGTATATGTATGTGTGTGATTGTGTGTATGTAATTGAGTATGTATTTGTGTGTGTATGAGAGTGTGTGATTTTGTGGCTGTGTGTGTGAGGGTGTGTGATTATAAATGTGAATGTGTGATTGAGAGTGAGTTTGTATGTGATTGAGTGTGTGTGGGTGTGGTGGTGTGATTGTGTGAGAGTGTATGTGAGCATGTTGTGTGTGACCATGCATACGTGAATGTGATTGAGTGTGCTTGTGAATGTGTGCCTGTGAGTATGTGTGAGTGCATTTGAGTCTGTGTGAACTGTGTGTGACTCTGTGGGTGTGTGTAATTAGTATGAGTGTGTAAGGGTGTGTGTGTGTGTGGGGGCTCTGGGTATGTGTATGAATGTGTGATCATGAATGTGTGAAATCGAGTGTGAGTTTGTGTGTGACCTAGTGTGAATGTGAGTGTGAGTGTGTGTGTGTGCAGGCGCTGGGAGGGTGTGATCCACAGAGGTCAGCCTTGGGTCACAGCAGGGTGGGGTGGGGCAGTGGCCCAGGGGCTGAGAACCCATCCGCCATGGGTGCTATATTCTGGGGGTCAGGGATGAGGTCAGGACCCAGCCGCAGGGAAGCTGAGGAGGGCCCTCCCTGGCGACGTGACCCTCTGTCCCTGATCTAACCTCTGGCCCTGCCCCCTCCCCTGTTCTCACTCTGGGATCCATGGCCTTTGGGACACAGGGGCCCAACAATGCTGGGGGAAGTTAGGAGAGGCCTGCCCCTTAGTCCTGGCCGTACCCCGCATTAGCTGGTGACCTTGAGCAGATTGCGGGTCACTGTCACCTCCTCTCTGGGAGAGGGGAGATTCGATGATGTCGTGTCGAGAAAGGGCCTGGTGCTGGGCACGGAGGAGGCACTCCTGAACCATACCTCTTCCCTGGCTCCTAGGTAGAAATAGTCCAGGTTTTTGGAAGTCTGGCTTCCCGCCCAGGAGGGAGTCGTTTCCCTGGTGCAGGAAGAGGCTATGGCAGAGCCTTTCCACCTGCCCTGGGATGGTGCAGCTGATCCTGCCTGTCTGGAGGGTCCCCATGGCTGTAGAGGCTGCTCGGCTGCAGCTTCGGGTCTGTCTGGGAGTTGGTGGGGAGCCTGGACCCTGCTCGTGGCCAGGAGGTGCTCTGTCCTGCCTTGCGCCCTGCCTTGTGCCCTGCCCTGCAGTCACGTGGCCTTGGACTCCAGGAATCAACGCTGCCTCGTGTGGGCAATCCTCGGCCCTGGGACAGGCAGGTTGGGAACTGCAAGAGAGTGTGGGCAGAATGTCTCAGGCAAGAGGTCATGGGCAGGGCATGTCCAGTGGCAGCCCCAGCCCTTCCTGGACTTGACTGGAGACCTGGAGCTAGACTGGTCCCAGCCGTCGTCTGCCTCTCCGTGGGTGGGCAGCTAGAGGCCAGGGTCCCTTGTCTGGGTGCCACAGCCGTCTGGCGGAGCCCCTGCTCTCCTGATGGTGAAGCCCTGCCGTTTGCTGCTCTCACCTTGCTGCCGCTGTGTCGTTCTGTGCTTTCTGAATTTGTTCGGCATGAGGCGGTGGGCTGAAGTCAGAGGGGACACAGGCCTTCCCACACAGCACCAGGTCTAGGAAAGAGGAGAAACAAAGTTCTCCATCGAGAGAGCATCCATCTGGGGGCAGCTGGCCTGGGGCCAGGGTGCCTTGACAGGGCAGGCAGAGTCTCGGAGTGCCGAGCCAGGGTCTGGCCCACTGGGCAGCGGCGGCTTAGGAGCTCCTGGCAGGGCCTGGGCGGAGGGTAATACCGAGCCTGGACAATACTCCTGACGGGGTGGAGCCCTCCCATGAGGGGCTGGGGGCCCATGCCGTCTGCTTGACCCCAGGAGGTGGGAGGGGCTCTGGGGGATCTGCCAGGCTAGTTGCGCCTGAGGCCGGAAGGGAGATGAGGTCCCCAGAGCCAGGGCCAGGCGAACCTGCTATGGGACACGGGCATTGGCGCCTTGTCCTCTCCCTGCAAATTTGCCTCTGTGGAGGGAGCCCGCCTCACTCCTCTGTCAGGGCAGGCCTGGGGCGAGCCCCTGCTCTGGGGATGCTGGCCTATGTGTCTGTCTTTGGAGGTTCCCTCCCTCTGACCCTTCCCCACCAGGGCCTGAGCCCTTTCTCCACCTGCTCCAAGCCCGGTGGGGTCTGGATGGCTGCTTAGGGCGCCTGTCCCCGGCATGTCCCCTCCCTGGTTTATGCAGCCTCTGGGCTGGAGAGGCCTCAGAGGGGCCCTGAAGGGGCTTGGCGGGGATGGGCTGGGGTTTCACCTCCTCTTCCAAGAGCAGGTCTCGCTCATTGTCCACTTGCCTGTGCGGGTCCTAGGATGCTGGGGAGCCACTGACTTCACAGTGGACGGACCTGGAGCTGGCTGCACCCCACCCTGCTGTGGGCGAACTCCTGCTCAGCTGCATGCCCCAGCAGCACCTGGCCTGGGGACATCTCTGAAGCAAGGCGAGGAGGGCTTGGGGGAGAGGACAGATGGGCCCCGGCTTGTTTCTGGATTCTGGGCCAGGTGTGACTGTGCCTTGGGGCCACAGTTCCTGTCTGTTGCGGCAGTGTCGTGGGTGGCTGTGTCTCGAGGTCTTGGAGGACCAGGAGCCATGCTGTGGCCCATGCGTGGGGGATTCGGTGGCAGCCATCGTCCCTTTTCCCCTCAGCTCCTGTGCCCTCACACCTGGGCTCCACGGCCGGCTTGGGGCACTAGCATGGCCAGCCCTGGACTTCACTCCAGATGGGCTGACACCCAAGGGTGGGGGTGTGGGAGGGGTGGGTGCTGCCGGCTGGGGTGGCTGAGGCACTGACTCTCCGTGTCACTGTTCCAGGCCCCATGTGTGTGCTGAGCAGGAGCTGACCCTGGTGGGGCACCGCCAGCCATGCCTGCAGGCCTTCAGCCGCATGGTGCCTGTGTGGAAGCCAGGCTGCGGGTGGCAGGCGTGGTGTGTCGGCCACGAGCGGAGGTAGGTGCTGGGGACCCAGGGTCCCAGGTTGTGGGAGGGGCTTTGTTTACGCAAAGGGTGGCGTTGACCTCCTGGGAGCTGGGCAGTAGAGGCCGGGCCCCGTCCTGGCCTCGGGGCCATGTGCACCCGGTGCCTGAAGCCCTCATCTGAGCATGAGGCCTCTCCCACCCTCGGGGTGAGGCTGCCATGGGGGCTGCTCCCATGCCATAGCCCTGTTCTGTTTATCCAAGCACGCACGCCCTTTGTGGGGGGTGTGTGTAGGAGGAGGGGGCCCCTCCCAGGAGGATGCTGGCCACTCAGGAAGGTGAGAGCGGTCTCAGCCTGCCAGGGGCCGGCAGGAGGCTGCTGCCACTTGGCCTGCGGGCCTTGTTCCCAAGCGCACGTGGAACCTTTTATTGCTCAAGATTTTATTTCAACACTGAACTTGAGTGCCTGTGTGCACCTCTCCCCACTTTATAGACTCAGGCTCTGCGGAGCCGGCCCCATGCAAAGTGGGTTATGGGAGGAACTGGCAGCCGCCCTGGTCAGGTGGAGGGTTTCCGTGTGCCCGGGGGAGAGAAGGCAGGAACGAGTTCTCAGATAAGTGTGGCTTAGCTTCTCAGCCTGGGATCTGGGGAGGAGCCGAGGCCCTGCTCTGCGCTGCTCTCGTGGGCGTGGGGTCCACGCGGGACACCTGCACCTGCTCTGCCCTCTCCAGCGACTCCAGAAGCTTCAATGTGTGTTTGCTGCACAATTCACACGTGTGCAGAGGAGAGGGGGAAGAAACCGTTAGGGTGGCGGTGGTTCTCACTCAGGGGCAGCTCTGTCTTCCCACCCCGGGACAGTGGAGATGTGGAGTTGGGTTTGGTGACAGGTGAGCTGGGCAGGAGGATGGGGCCGGGGACACTGCTCAGCGTCTGCAGAACACAGGATGACCCGGATGACACGGCCCAGGGCCGGGAGGGCTGAGGTTCAGGAACCCTGAGCAAAAAGAAGAAATCTCTTATTCTGTTCCCCAAAATGGCACCTTGCAGTCCGTCCTCTGGCCGTCACCCCTGCATGGATGTGGGCCTGTCCTGTGGCTGTCACTCGTGCGTGGATGCAGGTATATTCACCTGCGGGAATTTGGTCACATCAACCGGGTCTCCCGCCAACAGCTCACAATGGAAGAGCCCCATTTCTGGACTCAGCCAGAAGCCACCTGAGCCCAGGGCTGGAGGCAGTCCTGGTGGCCAGGCTGAGGAAGTACCCTGCCGTGGAGGCACGACTTCTCCATTGCCGTCTCCAGGCTGGCCTGAAGTTAGGGTGGGAGCAGCGTTTCTGACACGACAGGGCCCTCAGCCTGCTGGCAGGGCATTGGGTGGGGGCAGTCATGGACGAAGTCCCCGTCTGGGGGCACCACCGACCAGGGATCCCCTCCTGGCATTTCCCAGTGCAAGGTGTCCGGGCCTCTTCACCAGCCCTCCCTCCCTCCCGAAACATGGCTGTTCTGCCTCAAAATTCTGGGCTTGTTGTGGGGGAGGGGCCGAGGTCCACCTGCTCAGACTCCGGGCTGTTCTCACGTGCACCCCACTCCTGGGGGAACCAGAGCCCTCTCACCACCCTGGTGCCTGGGGGACGGGCATCGTGTGCTTTACTGAAGCCAGCCTGAGTAAAGTGGTTACATGCGGCCCAGGCCCCTGTCCCTTTGGGATGCTCCTGGGGCTGCCCGTGGGCACCGGGTGCTCCCAAATCCCGCGTTTCCTCTTTGCGTCCCCCCCCAAGCCGCTGGGGGCTGATTCAGATGCCCGGTGTAGATGTCACTCCATGTTGCGAGACCTTGGGTGGCACCTGGAGCACTGCGCTGGGGCCTGGTCCGTTTATCCTCCCCAGAGCCAGCCCTGCCCTCCCCCCCGACTCCGCCTATCAGCCTTTAGAGCGTGGTTTCTCTTCCTCTGGCCTCGGGACTCCCGGTCCCTAACCCTGAGCGCTTGCCCATTGGCCCTTGAGCCCCAGTGCTTATGAGCAGGTTCCCAGGTCACTGTGGAACTGGTGGGGACCCCAGCATCCCAGCTGGGCTCTAGGTGGCATCACGGAGGTGGGCACAGGCCATTCCTCCTGCGCCCACAGGGACCGCTCTGCCATGCAGTGGATGCCTGGGTGTGGACAGCCCTGGCGGGGTTCAGCAAGGGCAGGGCCCCTAATTGGCTCGGCCACTATTCAGCCAGGGCGCTGAGCAGTGGAGCCCCTGGGTTCTGGGGAGATGCAGGGAAGGAGATGCAGGGCTGCCCTTAGGAGGATGCAGAGGGGTGAGGGCCGGGCAGGCTCCCAGCAATGCAGCCCAGGCGGGGCAGCTGAGGCGGGACCTGGAGCACCACGGCACTGAGGGGTGACTTGAGGGTGAGCTGGCACCGTGGGAGGCTCGTGGTCTCATTGCTGGCTCCACCCCTACTGGCCTGGCGACCTCAGCCTCCTTTTTCCACCTGTGAACTGGGCTGGCGGTATCTCCTGTGCCTGGGGTCATGCCTGTCAGAGCCTAACCTGGAAAGCCCTTCCCAGACTTCCTGGCACAGAGCTGGGCTCAGAAGTGGGGTGCCCATGTGCAGAACAGCTCCAGCAGGGCAGGGATCAGGGGCGGGCCTGGGCTTCCTCAGGCCCTGGAGCGAGGAGCAGGCACGAGTGCTGGCAGGCAGGGCACCACGCGCGCCCCCCCAGCCTCTGCACACCTCCGCCTGCCACCTCGCCAGCCTCATTCCCAGGCTAAGACTGCTGCCAAGCCCTCCACCACTGCATGGCTGGGTGACTGGTGACTTGGGCTTGAGGCCACAGCTGGGCTTGGCAGCAGGTACCCTGTGCAGGCCAGAAGGGTGCCATGTGGCTCTGAATGTCCAGCTTTGCCTGTGGTGTGCCCATGCCAGCTCATCAGGGTCTCATTGTCAGGATCATGTCCCCAAGGGCTTGGCATCTGGCCTTCTCTTTCCGTAGTGATTCTTCTCTAGCTGGTTGGAGCAGGTTGCAGGGTAGCTGGGAACCAAGGGCAAGAGGCAGCAGCTGTGCGTCCCACAGCTTGAGGGCACCCTGGCTTACCTGGTGCCCGGTGCCTTGTCTGTCCAGGGCAGACCCCACTCTCCTGCCCTGGACAGAGAAGGAGAAGCCTCCTCTCCTGAGCTCTTCAGGGGAGTCCGGCAGGGTGGGGGGCCCAGGAGACCTTGGGCTGGATGAGCCCTGGTGGGGTGGAAACCTGCCGAAGCCTCAGTTTCCCCACCTGACTTGCTGCAGTGGTGAGGGCTAGGTGAGCCCCCCAGCCGGCCCCGCCGTGGCTGTGTTGTGGTGGCTGCCGCTGGAAGACAGCGGGTGGTAGCCCGGCCCTGGCTTCTGGGCTGTGGAGCCTGCTGCCTGCCTCAGGCAGGGCTGCAGGGTGACGGGTGCTCTGTCCCGACCAGGCCCAGAGTGGGCGGGGCTGGGATACAGCTGGGAGGATGCCTGGGTCTTCAGGGGTCGTGCTGTCAGCCCCTTGGGGGTGCTTCCCCGACAATCACGGCCAGGGGGACCTGTGAATAAAGGTGCTCCCGCCCTCTGAGGAAGGGATGAGGGCGGGCCTCTGATGGTGGCGCGGGCTGCTCAGGTCCCTCCCACCAGGCCACGCTCCCTGAGCCACGGCTTCCACTGTGAGCTGGTGGCTGCAGAAGGCAAAGGAGTGGGCGCCCCTGGTTGGCCTTGTTACCCCCACAACCCCGCCCTGCGTGAACCAGCTCCCCAGTGGCGGTGGCGCCTGTGTGATCTGGTGCTGGCTGTGAAGGAATGGAGGGCTGGTCCTCACAGGGGTTTCAGGGGCTGCAAGGGTCATTCCCTTCAGCGGGGATGGAGGGGGTGGTCGGCGGCCCGGGGAGCAGCACGTAGCCCGGCACCGCCGCCGCCCCGGAGAGGAGTAAATATTTACTGCGACGGGCTGGACACTCGGCTCTGCTGAAGACTTGGCCGCGGCGGTCGGTTTCTGTCTGGCCAAGTGGTTTCATGTCCTGCCAAGCCGGGCTCTGCGAGGCGCTCCAGAGCGTCCCTGCAGCACGTGTGCTTCAGCACAGGCTTCCGGGAAGCGGCCCGCCCGCCCACCACTGGCCCGCTTGTTTGTTGGGTCAGGGTCCCCAGGGCCCACCTCCGGCTTCCCATGCAGCAGCCCCGGCAAGCTGGGGGTGTTTTGTGATCAGAGATGGCAGCCCAGCTGCCCTGGCTGCTCCCAGAGGCTCAAGGGCCCTTGACCTCAGGCTGTTGGCTGGGCCCCTGGTCACCACCCCTGCAGACAGCGGCTGGGGTGGGGGAGGGTGGCTGGCTGTGGGGTCCGCAGGCTGCAGGGCAGGCCCTGGTGGGGGGTGCATCTTCTGCTCCTTCCATTACTCTTCTGTTTCCGTGTCTCTCTGTCTTATCTGCGTCCCTCTCTGCTTCTCTCTGCCTCTCTCCGTCCTCCCCTGCCACATCCACGTGATCAGTTGTCCTTGCAAACGCAAAGCACTCAGAGCCGTGGGACCCATGGCATGTGCCACGTAGTGAGCTGTGCAAGGGTTTCCTGCCCCCGCTGCACTGAGCCCCGAAAACCAGGCGGCTTCAAACAGCAGGGCTTTCTTCTTGCCCAGCTCCCGAGGCCGGAAGTCTGAGATCAAGGTGTGGGCAGGCTGGGCCCCTGCAGGGCCCCGAGGGATCGTCTGCCACAGCCCCAGCTCTGTTGCGTCTGGGAGCATCTTGGCTTGTGGCCATCCCCTCCACCTCTGCCTTCCTCTTCACGTAGCTGTCCCCTGTGCCTCCGTCCAGATTTCCCTCTTCCTGTAAGGACGCCGGTCCCTGGATTAGGGCACCCCCATTCACTATGGATGGCCACGTCTTAGCTTGATTGCCGGTGAAGCAAAGGCCCTATTTCCAAGTAAGGCCACATCCGGTGGACCTGAATTTGTGGGGCCATTAGTCACTGCAGAGCAAGCAGAGCAAGACAGGGCATCAGGGCGGGCAGGTGGCCACAGGTGGCCGTCTGTCTTGCTGGTCCTTGCAAGAGTGAGGGTGGAGGCTGTTTGGGCAGCAGAGTGAGGACCCAGGTGTCAGCGCAGCTCTCCAAGGAAGAACGGTGAGGTCAGCAGGCAGATCCTGGGGCTGATGTGACCCATGCTCTGACAAAGCAGGGAAGGAGCTTCCTGGAGAGGTAGCAAACCTTCCAGAAGGCAGAGGAGTAGGCACCCGTGTGGACCTGGCAGCTTCGTCCCCCTGATGACCCCAGCCCTGCATGAATCAGCTCCCTGGTGGCGGTGGAGCCTGTGAGCTGGTGGTGGCTGCAGGGAATGCGGGTGGGGGGCGGTCCTCACGGGGGCTGCAGGGGCTGCAGTCCACCAGCCCTCTCCAAGGGCCTTTCGCTTTAGTGGGCATGGAGGGAGTGGTTGGCACCCTGTGTGGGACAGCTCGAGTTGGAAGAGGTGCAGGCTAGGAGGAACGGTGGCTCTGAGCCGCAGGCCGGGGACGTGATGGCAGGAGGCTGCTGGGCTGTGCGGGCTGGGTGCCCTCGCCTCCAGCCTCCCTCTGCTCTAGGTTTGTGGCTGTCCCACTCAGGGCGAGTCCCCGCGTGGCAGAGGCGGGCCCCCTGCTGAATGCTCTGCCAAGACCTCCCACGTGTGGGGACTGGTGATGCCTGTGGGAACGGGATGGAGATGGGGGCTAGGCAGGGGATGGCTCAGGGTGGCCTGAGGGGGCCGGGCTTCATGGGCTGCAAGGTGCTGGCGGCCCGGGGCAGCCTCTGGACTTGGGGAGGGGGATGGCATGTCCTCTGGGTAGCTGGCTTCTCTCTGGCTGTGTGCACCCTGTCAGGCTGGACAGATCGGGCTGCCCATTCCCAGGAGGACCCTGCCATTTTCTGCTTAGCCTTAGTGACAGCCCCCGCTGGTCCCGTCTGAGCAGGAGCCAGCCTGTGTACCAAGTCTGCCCTGGCCACACTGCTCCCGGGAAGCCCTCCCTCCTGCCCACCATGGCGTCTCCTCTCTGACCTGGGCCCACACAGGTCCTCCTGCTGCTGCCCGTAACCACTTCACCTGTCTCCCCAGCTCAGCTTTGTCCTCCTAGGTGTGGGGGGCACTGGCCACAGCACCTGTGTTTGGGCCCCTACTGGGACTGTCTACTTCACTGCTGGACTGAGAGCCTGGGGTCTGGACCTGCACCTCCCGTGCCTGGCACAGCCTGCCCGGCCCCGGGCACTGTGGGCCCACTTGGCTCATCCCGACAGCCATCCTGGCTCTAGGGCCAGGCACTTCCAACTCCCCGAGACCCTCACGGAGCTGCCTGGCACTGAGAGCTGGGTGGGGGGAGGAGATGTGCATCCCAACGCCAGCCTGGAGCCAGAACCACCGTGGGGTGGGAGGGTGCTGGGCAGAGGCGGAGGGGTAGCGTGTCCCAGGTTGAGTGGAGCACGAGGCCACTGTCGCCGGCTCCTGCTGCCTCCATGCTGCCCCCTTGTTCAGAGGAATCTGACTGGGTGTTGGCATCAGCCACCCCACCCGGGCACCTGGGGGTCGCAGGCTGTGCAGCTGGGAACTCTGCCGATGCAGTCCGTCTCCCCAGGGGTGCGGTGAGAGCCAAACGCACCCGGTCCCTCGAAGGTCAGCACTTCTCTCCTCCCTTCCTTTCTAGAACCGTCTACTACCTGGGCTACAGGCAGGTGTATACCACAGAGGCCCGGACTGTGCTCAGATGCTGCCGAGGGTGGACGCAGCTGCCCGGTGAGGAGGGCTGCCTCTCGGGTGAGTCCCGCCTGCGCCTCCCTGCCCTCCCTCCCTGCACCCCAGAGGCCTCGGCAGGGCGGTGAATCTGCGCTGGGCCTGGTGGGGAGCGCCCTTTCCCAGCAGCACGAGAGACTCAGGGCCACCTGCTCAGCTGCCGGGAGAGAGAGCTGGGGCTGAGTGTGGTCAGTCCACTTGGCTGGCTCTGCCCGAGGATGGGAGCCTGCCTTTGGCAGAGTGTCTGAGGGTGTCCTGGGGCCACACATCGGTGTCTGTGGCTTCGTGCACCCCTGAGCCCTGTTCGGGGTTTACCTGCCATACCACAATCACCACCCCCTCCCCGCCGCCGAGTCCCTCCCCCTGCCCTGTCCTCTACACCACATTCTCCCAAGGCCAGTCTGGGCCGGGTGGCAGACCTCAGCCTCAGTGGGTGCAGGGAAACCCTCTTTTCTCTCTCCTGCTTGCTGGCGTCCCTGGGCAGGCCAGGTGCCTGGGCCTTGGTCATCTCATCTGCTGAATGGAACTTCAGTATCTGCTTCTTGGACGGGGTGGGGGGCCTGCGGAGAGGGGTCGCCCCCATGTAACCAGCACAGTTTGAGAGGCCCGTGCTGTATACCACCTGACCAGGGCGGGTGCTGATGGGCTGCTGGGGCTCAGACGTGGGGGCCCAGGACTGGAAGCGGGTGGTGTGAGCTCAATGGGTGGCTCTCAAGCCTCTGCTTTGTAAAAGGAATGGGGCTCACAGTGACAGAGGTGTTTGGGAAGTTTTCAGGTGTGGGGACAGGAGCCTGGCAGGGAAGCTGCCAGGGCAAAGGGGTCAGTGTCCCTCCCTGGAGGGGCCGGCACAGAGGTCCTGGGACCCTGTCCTGCAGAGCCGGCCTCTCCTGAAACGGCTGTGTGGCATCCTGCCAGTGAGGCACAGGCTGCGCCGGGGGTGTGGCTGGGAGTCACGCACTCCCCACACATTTTTTTTCACTTTTTATGTTTATTTTTTAGAGGCAAGGTCTCACTCTGTCACCCAGGCTGGAGTGCAGTGGTGCCGTCATACCTCACTGCAGCCTCTGAGTCCCGGGCTGAAGCCATCCTCCCTGCTCAGCCTCCCGAGTAGCTGGGACTGCAGGTGTGCACCGTGACGCCTGAATAATTCTGTATTGTTCAGGATCTCACCATGTTGCCCAGGCTGGTCTTGAACTCCTAGGCTCAAGTGATCCTTCTGCCTCGGCCTTCTAAAGTGCTGGGATTGCAGATGTGAGCCACACGTCCGGCCAACACTCCCTACTCTGAGGGCGAAGGGGTGGTGGGCTCCCCGGGCTCCTGTGACAGGAACAGGACGCAGCCCTAGGGGTCCTCCTGGCAGGTAGTTTCCTGGAGCCTCGGGCTCGCTCCTCACACAGGAAGCATGTGGGCTGCCAACCGGGGATGGAGTCGCCTGTCCTGGCACGAACTCCAGTGGGAAAAGGGAAGTGAAGGGAGGATAGAGATGTTTTTCCAGTAGAGGAAGTGGGTAATTCTCTCCAGGAAGGGAGGAGGGTAAGGAGGAAGAAGGAGGTGACCGGGGCCGACCAGCCGCCCCTCGGAGGGGTTCCAGCCCCCCCGTCACTGAGCCTGCTGCTCGCTGATGGTGTCTGAGCTGCACCCTGTTTGTTTCTCTGCTCCTGTAGTCTGGGAGGAACAAAGGGGTCATTTGAGCAGGGAGGGGGCAGACATCAAAGCCGAGGTTCCCCCGGGTTTCTGGGTTTCCGCTCTGAGGCGGGGGTTCTGGGGCCTGCCAAAGGGGACTCTAATAATGGGGTAAAGCAATAAGCGGCTTGGAGTCGGGGCGGGGAGCGGGGAGAGGAAGTGGGGCCGCCAGCCCGCGTCCCCAGGGTTTACTGCGGGAGAACGGGCTTTTTGCTCCGAGGAGGGGACATGAAGGCACAGCTGCATGGATGGCTGGGGCGGGGGTGGGGGTGCCCAGGGGCCTGGGGTCCAAGGCAGGGCGGGGGTGGAGAGCCTGGGCAAGAAAGGCAGCCGCAGGTAGAGGTGTGCAGCTGTGTTCTGCTACCGTCCCCTTCGTGGGCAGTGACAGTCCCAGGGTCAGGCTTGAGGGCAGGGGCCAGGCCAGTCCCTCGAGGCGGGTTCAGCCTCTCCCGCTATGGGGACCTCAGTGTCTCAATGGTCCCAGCAGGGCTTGGCGAATGTGCCCATCTCCCTCAGCAGCCTAGCTCCAGGTGAGCTTTGGGCCCGCCCTGCCAGTTCCGTCTCCTTGTGCTGTGGTCAGGCACCAGCCACCATCCCCATGTGGGACCCTGGGGCTGTAGAAGAATGTGGTGGCTCTGCCCTGGCCTGGCTCTGCTGGCTGGATTGGGGTGGAGGGCATCTTGGCTGAGACCCTCCCCAGGACAGCCTGGGCTGGGCTGTGTGGAGGGGCTGGGCTGAGGCTGGGGGCGGGGGGCAGGGGAGGGTGGGGGTCCTGGCTGTCAGGTCGGCAGCGGGGAGGGGGGTGGGGGACGTCCTGGCTGTCACGTCGGGGAGTTCTTACGCAGATCCTGGATGTGGGCTTTGGCTCTGTTATTATTTGTTTTTAAAAACTCGTTCTTAGCGCAGGATTGACTTGTTTGTGTGTTTGACTTTTATTTGCTTGTTTCATGGCCGAGGGAAGCCCTGTGATCTTCTCCAGCCACTCCCTGTTCACCCCATGGCAGCATCCCAGCAAGGGCGGGGGCGGTGGGCAGCAGGTGGGTGGGAGTCAAGGTTCACAAGGCTACGCCTGTGTCCCGGGCGTTGGAGGGGTGCTGCCTGTGTCCCGGGCGTTGGAGGGGTGCCGCCTGGCGCGTCCTGGGCGTTGGAGGGGTGCCGCCTGGCGCGTCCTGGGCGTTGGAGGGGTGCTGCCTGTGTCCTGGGCGTTGGAGGGGTGCCGCCTGGCGCGTCCTGGGCTGGCCACTGCGTCATTCATTTGTTTGGTCATTCGATTGTTTGCCAAGCATTGGGTGTTAGGGGACCCTGGCAGCAGGTGCTTGCCCATGTGGCGCTCACGGCTGCGAGGCTGGCTGCGAGCGGATGCTTCTCGTGTGGCCAGGCTGTGACAAGGCTGGGGAGGCAAGGGCCAGTGGGGCCTGCAGGGCGGTGCTGGGGGGCTGCCCCGGAGCCCCGGCTGTCAGAGAGGGAGTGGGGAGTCAGGGTCGGGGGGACCTGGCCAAGGCTTTAGGCCCTCCCGGCAGCACGAGGCCTCCCGTCCAGGCAGGGAAGCCCACAGGCTCTTCCTCCAGCTGCCCCTCTCAGGGTAGTGGGCTGCATGCTCAGACCCGCAGGCCTCTCCTCTGGGGGCCACTGTGTGAGGGTGTTGGGCTGGCCAGGGCTGGGGGCTTCTTTGGATCCCACAGGAGTGCCCTGGCGGGGCAACATGGGTGGCCTCGGGGACCCTGGCCTGGTCTGAGCCAGGATGTGGAGCAAGTGTTTATTGATGGGCGGGACCCTGCCAATCCAAGCAGCCAAGAGTGGAAAACATGGCCCAGTCCTGGCTCAGTTCCCTGCAGCTCCCTTGTGAGTATGAGACCTTGGGAGCAGCCCCCACCAGCCCCCTGGCCAGTGCCCCCATCAGGCCCCGGGCTCCAGGACGTGGGTGTGATAATGCCCACCTCAAAACCTGGGATTAAATGAGTCACTTCATGTAGAGCCTTTGCTTGGCTGCATACAGTAAGCGCTCAAGCAATGCCAGCTCTTCTTGTTCTTCGAAGAGGAGGCCTGAATGAAGCCTCTTGGCCTGTGGTGACTCCCGTTAGCAGCAGTGACAGTGGCAGTGGTACCCATGGTGATCGGGAGCCTCGGTGATGGTGTCACTGGCCAAGGGCTTGGGTGCAGGGCTTGTGGGCAGGGGTCCCTGGGGACCGAGCCCAGGGCCTTACCCCCTGCTCAGTGGTTCTGTAACGTCTCTTCCCGCCTCCCCATGGCTCAGCTGAGGCTCTGCCTTCCTGCCCTGGGTGGGCCGAGCATTTCCAACGCCACGATCCAGCTCTGCTGTGTGCTGCCCATCTCCAAAGGCTCCAGCAAGAAGGGCGAGGCATCGCTGCTGCTGGGGTCAGGGGCTTGTGTTGGGTGGGAGTCTCAGGGTCCTAGCAGGTGCTGAAGCCTCTCAGCTAAGAGTCGAACATGGCTGCTCCCGGTCTCCCCTGCCAGTGTGCAGGGACATTGGGGCTGCACTGGCCAGGGTCCTCCCTGCTCCCCAGCCCCGGGCACCACTGTCTTTCTGAGCGGGAGGAAGGTGGTAGGGTTCATGGCCCAGCACAGGGCAGGCGCCCACTCTGGAGAGGGCCCTGGGGGTCAAGGCTTGGCTCTGTGTCCGCCCGCCCTTTCCTTTCTCACCCTTTGCCCCTCCCGTTTCTCCATCGCCTTCCAGCCCCTGCTGGCAGGGGAAGGGCAGGGGACGCCCCTGAGCTGCTGAGGTCCCCCTCCCCCAGCCATTGTGACATTTATTTGCCTCCGTGTGACCTGGACACCCGGCCACAGAGGACAATGTCGGGGCCTGGGAGCCCGCCGTCTTTGTGTAGGAGCGAGGAGCGCGCTAATGCCCGTGAGAGACTGGCTGGAAGCTGCTAATCGCGTTATGATTTCCCTGACAGCCACTGACTCAGTGCCGAGTGGGGTGGCTGGGCCTCATGACCAGGGCTTCCTGAGCCCGAGAGGCCCTGCGGACGGAGCCTGTGTCCTGGGTGCCACGGGGCTTGGACCCACTTCTCCTGCTGGGGGGTGTCCTTCCTGCTCCAGGATTCTCTGAATTCCACCTTTTTCCTGGTCCAGTGCCAGATTTTCCCCAGACCCTGCCGGTGTTTCAGCCGGAGTCTCCCTGGTCCTGGCAGCCTCAGGTACCTTGGGCTCCCCTCCTCCAAGCCGGGCTCCCAAAGTGGGCAAAGTGGCAGATGCGTGCCAGGCTGGAGCAGCTGACTCGCCGGTCCTTCCACAGGTACACCCTGAGATGGACAGCTGGAGGAACGAGGCCCCTCCCCTGCAGCTCCCCACATGGGCTGTGCTGGCCTGGCCCAGTG